CGCCCCCGAAAAAAATTTTTAATTATTTACAAAAATAAACAAGGTTTGCACAATTTTATAATCCATATAGGTAGTTTCAAAAATTTCGCGACCCATTCTCCGGGGGGGGCGCCCCCCCCCCCTCCTCGGTACGCCACTGGGCGGCATATATGTATATTTAGAATAAACGTGTTTAGTAGTAGTGTATTTTGAAGTGAAAGCCAGCGAGACTTCAAAGATTTCTTCAGGTAAATTTTGTTATAACGTACTGCGAGGGAAGTAGATCGATCCAGGCAGTAACCGCCGGGAACCAAAATTTTGAATAATAAAATAACGATAAATTATGCGAAATTTCTACGTTTATAAATCTTGCGGTTGAAGATGTCAGCAATTGCGACTTCATAGGTTTTGAAGGGCAAGTGTTGCTCTACGAGATAGTAAGAAAATTAGGTCGATCTGAGCAGTGGCCGCCGAGAACGAGAATTTTATAAAATTAAGCGATTTCAGGTTACTTAGTGACAGCTGACGTTCAGACTCCTATAAATCTGGAATGTGAAGGTGTGCTGTGTTGCGACTTCATAGGTTTTGTGGAGTAAGAATTGCCCTATCGGACTATGCCTTAGCGGTACCGATCCATCAAGATACCGCCGAGATTCAGGCTTTCAAAAAACAGGTGAAAAACCGCTTTTTGAACTTAAACAGCTCATAACTTCTTAAGAATTGCATGAATTATGTTGCGACTTCATATGTTAGAATCTTCTCATCAAGAGCTTTCAGATGATATATGACATGTGGGGGGTTCAATGATTTTTGCGGCTCTAACCCAGGGTGGAGACTTTTCACCCCAAAGTCTCCACCTCGCCCATGTTAATGTATTGGCCGGAGATCGCTAGTGGAGGCTTTGGGGTGAAAAGTCTCCACCCCCGGGCATGTGCCGTGAAAGGCGCGAAACCCCCACATGTTTTATATCATCTGAAAGCTCTTGATGGGAAGATTCTAACGTATGAAGTCGCAACATAATTCATGCAATTCTTAAGAAGTTATGAGCTGTTAAAATTCAAAAAGCGTTTTTTCACCTGTTTTTTAAGAGCCTGAATCTCGGCGGTTTCTTGATGGATCGGTACGGCTAAGGCACAGTTCGATAGAGCAATTCTTACTCTACAAAATCTATGAAGTTGCAACACTGCACACCTTCATATTCCAGATTTATAGGATTCTGACGTCAGCTGTCGCTAAGCAACTTAAAATAGCTTTATTTTTTAAAATTCTCGTTCTCGGCGGCCACTGCTCAGATCGACCTAATTCTTTCACTATCTCTAAAAAAAACACTTGCCCTTCAAAACCTATGAAGTCGCAAGTGCTGACATCTTTAACCACCGGATTTATAACAGTGGAAATTTCGCATGATTTTTTCGCTGTTTTATCATTCGAAATTCTGGTTCTCGGCGGTTACTGCCTAGATCGACTTACTACATAGATATATGCTCTCAATACTTTCTTTTGCGTTCCTTTTGCTTATTTTCCTTCTTTTAAGCTTCAACAAAAAAAATTTTCTCAAACCCAAAAGTGAAGGTGGTCCCCGTACCAGCTCAAAAGTGAAGGTAGGTGGAGACTCGGCTCCGACTATCGCACCTCTGACGGACAGCAGTTAACTGACGGACGGCCGGCCGGTGAATGTAGCCGCTCGCCCGGTGCTTTCTGATTTTGGGTCGCTTGCCCGGCGAATGAGCTCGCTCGGCCGGAGAATGCAACCGCTCGGCCGGGGGTCTCTGATTAGCCCGGCGCTCGCCCGGTACTTTTGCCTGAGTTGTCGGTTCTCGCTGAGAACCTTGCTAGAACTGGCAGCGAGCGGGCTGCTATAAAGTCTTTGGCGCGAAGCGAAACTGGCGACGATAAGGCACGGCGCTTTTGGTGGGGTTTGGCGGTGGCTTTGTGGCCCGCTGAGGCTTTGATTGTCTGAAATCTTCGTATGGTTTCATACCGCGACCTACCTTCGTGTGGATCCCGCGCGAAAGTATGCAAGCACAATGCAAGTCGTCCGACAATACGATCTCGGGGTCCAGTTTGAAGACGAATATCTCAGCCGTGAGTTATTCGCGCTGCCGCTTAAGGCAGTGTCTTGGTTAGCGCCGGGAACTGCTACTTTCCATGTGAGATCTCCGCAGGTCCCGATTTGCCTGAACGCTGCCTTCAAGATAATTTGACCGCTGTTCTTCACATTCTACCAGCCTCAAATGATACGGGTTTCCGTATAATCTGCCCTAATCGGGCCGAACTGTTTGCTGAATCCACGCGCACGCAGCACCACTACCTTGCGCTGCATACCTAGGTAAGGCTCCCGCCAGAGTGCCGAAGTTATGCCAGCGCTACGCCAGCATTTCGATCGATACACGTGTATTTTGTTGGGGCGGGGCTAGCTCAGCAGGTAGGTGTCCCCAACGAAATACACGTGTATCGATCGAAATGCTGGCGTAGCGCTGGCATAACTTCGGCACTCTGGCGGAAGCATATATGCGCACTGTCGGATAGAGCGAAGAGATCGAAGACTCTGACATTCGTTCCGTACGAGCCGCGCGAAGTTTGCGTACGAGCGGACTCCTCAATGGCCGTTCGCCCGCCAAATGCGCTCGGGTGATGCGCGAATTTCGCGCCGCTGGTACGGTAATTTCGTGCTTGAATCGCTGATACGACAATTTTGTGTTAACGCCACCGATATGGCAGTTTCGGAGATCACGTCCGGCTACAAAATTAAGCAACACAGAGGTGCTATCGAAGATTGTCTATGGGACCACCTTCCGGCTATGTCCTTGTGTAATCCCTGTGTAAATGCTGTAAACACACTCAAGCCAATTAGCATTGAGAGCAGCCTAATCACTGCGTCGTATCTTACGCAAGTACCCTTTACGCTTATAACGTGTGGAAATTACGCTATAGTTTTTGTGCACTTAAAAATGAGAAAATTATAACCGAATGCATAAATAATGATCGCGCACAAACTTAACACGTTTCGGACGGCGAAATCGCGCGCGGCGAAAAAGAGTGTATTTTCAATCGTTAGCCTACAAAGGGGCCTTATTTCGCAGCATGTGGGCCACATTTGTAATCAGCATGTCAGATAAGCTCCATATCCAAGGTTCTGAGTGAATTCGAAGTGTTTGAATTTTGTCGCTTGAGAGGGACTGTTGTGCTTTCTTGAAAGATAGGAACAAGAACTCAGATTCTAATAGTATTCAAAAGTATCTATGTTGTACACGGTACACATCAGTATTGAAACTACGGTTTTTCTCTTTGAATTCGAAGCAAAGGAAAGTTGCGACGTCGCACGCGTCGTTCGCGTCGCCGCACTTCGTTGCAACTGTTGTCCGATTTGTGCTCATATCTCCTAAACAAATATCGGCGACACAACTCTACAGAGTCATTTGAAAACTAGGAGCTTAGACCTTTGACTTAACTACTTTAGACTAAAAGGAAACCTCCTGCAAACGCCAGAAAGATCCTTCAAAGCAGCGTGCTGCACCATGTGCAGCACCGGTCCGAAACGTGTTAAACGTCTTTCTTTGACTATGGTAGCCGTGAACATGTGGATCTGCCTGAAAAGCTGCAGAAGCTTAAATTAGTGGTACGCCGCTTGTACGTTTGAAGGCACGCGGCCGGTCCTGCTTGTCAATTGCGCGCCGCTCGTACTGATACACTCCGAACTGCGCGCCGCTCGTATAGGCGCCGTAAAACCTAATTGCCCGCGCCGTGCCTTGAACACCAGCGTAAGCGAGCGGTCGTCGCGAACGATTGTCGGCGTTCACTATATTCCAAAAAATCTTTCTTTAGTTTTCATGTTGCTCTCGTCAATGCAAGGTATATCTCGACGAAAGCTCCCTTCAAAAGCTTAAAAAAATATGTGTGGAAAGGGCGCGCGCTCATTGTCGCTCGAAAAAAGCCTGTAGCGCTTCGGGACCAAACGTCTTCAGCCGCGCCGCGCGTTGGTGTTCAAAGCGACGCGTGGGCAATTGGGTTTTACGGGGCCTGTACTCAAATCCGACTGGGTCGCGCCGCTCATACGCTCGACAGGCGCGGGTCGTAGGAATCGTTATTTTTGCGCGCCGTTCGTCCGAAACGAATGTCAGAGGAGAGAGCAAGCCGTAGTGGCGCTGCAAAACTCAGCAACGCGTAGTCGCGCCATACCAATGTTGGCCATTGGGATTCGGGCAGACTTACCCGCTTTGGTGCACCCCCGAGAATTGTTCCCGTATGAACCATCAACGTGGTTGTCTTCCGATCATTTCAACTTGTCAACTTCAAATAAGGGCCTTATTTGCTGGAGTTAACGTGTTAAAACAATAGAAAGGCAGCCACGTTGATGGTTCATACGGGAACAATTCTGGGGGAAGCACGGTATAGCCTTGAAGCCTTCCTATTAACGAGTTTAATTGTCATTCAGGCACTGATTCCACACGGATACAAGCCTCCGCGCAGGTCGCGGAGTCGCGGACTCGGGTGAACTCCCTCCTGTCGTGCACTCTCGCGGTTTTTCTTTGTTCTCGCTTCCACTGATGAACCATCAGCGACAAACGCAACAGCGTTGTATTTCGTGCAAAATGCAGACGGCCTACACTCTGTCCGAACCGGGATTAGGGCGAACCGCTTGCATAAATTTGCGGAATCTCATCGTTAGGGGTTAGCGCTGCATGCGCACTATCGGAGACGGCGAAGAGGTTAAAAAGAGGACAGACAAGCAGGCCGTATTCGTGATTTGCTGATTGGGATTGCGATAGACTGTATAACGTAGTTTTTATTGCCTCCTTTCCCCTCTGTGATACGAATGAATCAATGAATTGCGCGCTTGCAACGCCTAGCATTTTGCGTTGTATGGCCGCCAAAGCATTGCCGGAGAGAATGGGGAGAAGACAGATAGGATAGGTCTTTTGACCACCAATTTTCATCAGCCCGTAGACGTGATGCAGGACCACGGCGGTTACGTATCTTGCAAATTTTGGCCTCATCTATTCGCGACAGACTGTGCTCTTCCCTTCTCGTTCAAAAATCATCTATGCTGGGGGCTTCTCTCTGCTGTTTCCAATGTTCATTCCCACACATAAACAGTGACTGAGGAGAAGACGAAACGTATTGTTTGTCCCACCGAAATCGAATGCAGCTTCCAGTTTTGAGAGCTGCCTTCACTTTTGGGTTTTTTTTTTGGAAAATTTCATTATCTGGAGAGTGCCTCGTTTTCAGAATACTGGAAGACCATTACGGCGACAAATACGCGTCACGGTACGTACGCCAATACTTGATTCTCTAATGCGCACTACGGTTCTTTCGTTTTCAGCGACGTTTGCGAGAAGTGACGTCCTGCCGATTGCCGCCTTCTGGGTTCGCGATCAATATCTAGCTGTCCGCACTCTCCGTCGTCGCTGTGCACCTTCACATCAATTCTCTTCAAAAAGTGAATGATTCAGCACAAGGAGCTGTTTATGTGAGCGGTCAGCCAAATTGTGCATATGTTTAGATTGAGTGGAAATGTGAGTTCAGACAGTTTTATGTAACCCACCTTCATTTTTTCATTTTTCTTGTTTTTCTCTTCTTCATGAGCATGTTTTCTTCCGATTGTACTAGGTTCTAAAGATGACGTCTATCTGTATGAATGAAAAGCGCTTGCATATCTATTTCGCGACGTATTGCAGTACGAAGGCTGGGCCCGTAAATATCAAAAGCAAGGGTTTCCAGTGATACACAAGCTTTTCTATAGGATTCATTCTTATCTACAGGATTCATTTGTCTTTCAAAACTTACCGTTAACTTGGGAATTTTTCCAACGATGTACAAAGTGGCGAGGGTGTTCGGTTAGATTTGGGTACTTGGATACTTGGATATCTCTTAGGTTCTTTAGGTATTTCTCAGAAGTAAACACACCATATCGTGCGTATGGTCTCTCCTAAGCTAATGCCTTTTTTCTAGAAGTGCATTAGATAACTGTGCTTTACGAAGCTATGGTAATGCTCAGAGCGCATGTAACGTGAATTATTGCCGTTATCCGCAAAATTTCTAGAAGCCCGTCATTAACCTAATCTAATATATAAAGAATCGTTTAGCTTAGTTCAAAAATCTTCCAGTCAGGGTCAAGCGTGTTGATGCGATCCTAGGCCCTCTTTCAGGACCCCCCCCCCTTGAAGCATCTATCCGTGCGACCCCCCCCCCCCCGCAACCAATAACAACCGAGAAAATTCAGCGCGGAACGGTTCACTTTAGTCATTGTAATTGACTATTTTATTATAAATCATTTTCTAGTGACAGATAATAAACTCTTCTGTTGTTTATGAGTTTCAGTGGTACCGAAAGATATTGACAATGATTATGGAAATTAGAACATTTTAGACGGTAATGATAGTCTCGTGTTTCGTCCTCGTAAGCGACACTATTTTTAAACTTTTTTTTAAACTAAAGCGATTTAGCGCCATCCAGAACGATGTCAAAAACGTGCATAAGCACGGTACTTTGATAATTCGTAATCAAAGTTAGGAAAAGATTAAGGGGGTCAACGAACAGGTCTTGAACTATACTGCTCAGGCACTTGAAGGTAAAAGTTGCAGCCACACAGGAGCAATAAGCTCGAAAAATTAGATGCAACTCTAGCAAATTTAGATGCGATCCTAGAAGCCAAAAACTGGGATTTTCTAGCTCAAAATTCCTTAACTCACTGACACGTAACGAAACAGCCCGAAATTTTGGTACTGTTCCACGGGAGACGGTCAAGAGGTGCGATTTCTCTGGCTGTCACCAACAAGCCCATTTCTGCACTACACAAATCTTCAAAAAGTGCCAGAGAAAGTCTTTTAGCTTACTAGCTGTTCGAAGTTACCATTTACTGAGTTTCACGGCTTTTGCTGAAAAAATGAGCGAAATGTTCGCGAAATTGCCATTATTTGCATTTTCATGGGTTTTTGACCTCTAATGTTTCTGTTTTGGATCTTTCTTGAGATGATAAGATCAGACAGCTTATGCCACGATCTTCTATAACTTCTCAGAAATTTGAAAGACCCCTAGAACATTATTGAACATTTGAAAGGTGCAATTTGATGTCCAGCTGGCAATAAAAATCGCGCCTCTTGACATACACCCCTGTTCCACATTAGTTGACCCAAAAATTGTAATCGTGAATTTCGCTAAAACTTCGTCTAGGGGGGTTATTTGGTATGCTGAACACGAATATGATGTTTATTTCGTGCGACAGCGCCATCCGTTGAAGTTACGGTAGGACTAAGGTACAGGGTCAAAATCACGCATTGGCCCGAAACTTGGCCCAGAGGGGTTAATCGGCCCGCTGATGCCAAATGTCACATTGGTTTTGAACCGTAGCGTCATTTTCTCGGGTTACGGTAGCTACAAGGTAACGGGTGTTAAACATAGTTCTGCTTGAAAGGTGTACAGCGATTCGACGATCGTGAAGCTTTGCACACATGACCACCGCCCCGCTCTACACAACCTGCTGCGGCTTTTGCTTAAGCAAAGCACAAGGGATAGATACATTTGCCGATTTGTGATTTTGACCCCTACCGTAAACCTACCATAACCATACAGGGAGACGTTTTCGTGCGAAGTGTGACATCTCCAATCAGCATGTCGAATACCTCTGTGCGAAGTTACAGCGGATTTTGAAATTTTTACCTCCTACCGTTTACCCACCGTAACCCGAGAAAATGACGCTTCGGTAAAAAATCGATGTGATATTAAGCATCGGCGGGCCGAATAACCCCTTCCTCTGAGCCAAATTTCGGGCAAATCGGTGATTTTGACCCCCTACCGTAATCCTACTAACTCCATCGGATGGCACTGTCGCACGAAATAAACATCATATTCGTGTTCGGCGTACCAAATAACCTTCCTAGACGAAGATTTAGCAAAATACACGGTTTTCATTTTTGGGGTCAACTAATGTGGAATAGCGCCGAAATTTTCAGGATAGATAGTAAGGGATGGCTTCTTAACACAGCAAAATTGCAGCGAGCAGGCCTCCATAGCGGCGGAAAAATTAAGATGCGACCCAGATACGACCCACCTTTTTCATTTTTTTGCCATATATAAAATTTAGAAAAAATCCACAGACTATGAAATATACCCAGATTTTGCACAAGTAGCAGAGCATCTCCAAAGTACAGGTAAATTGTATGGGCCCTTGAAAGACATAACAAAAAGATTTTAAAAATTAGTGACGGTCATCGCTGGTAATAGAGATGAGCGCTTTTATCGAGAGTGTGAGACTTCAGTGATGCTTCGGAACCAAGATTTCTAGGCCAATTAAAGGCAGTGTCCGGGCAAAAACTCGAGTTTGAGATTTTGTGCTTATACGGGCCTATTCGCCATGCTGAATCCGAAAATCTACATTGGAAAGCGCGAAAACGGCGAGAAAGGGCTCTAACACAGGAGGGAAATCAGCAGGTGGGCGGGGCTTTCCCCAAAGCGATTTCACGCTCCCAGCTCCCGGAGCGATTTTCTCGATTCCGCTAGCCGTCCTAACATCGCCACCGGTCAAGTGCGAATGATTGACTTGAAACCGGAAGCGAGAAGGTCGCTCTGAAAGCCGGGAACGTGAATTCGCAGTGGGGAGGACTCCGCCCACCTGCTGATTTCCCTCCTGTGTTGTTAGAGCCCTTTTTCGCCATTTTCGCGCTCTACAATGTGCATTTTCGGATTCAGCGTAGCGAATAGGCCCAGATAAGCACAAAATCGCAAAATCGAGTTTTTGCAGGCAAGGGGGCAGGAGTTTTTGCTCGGACACTGCCCCTTTAAAGGAAGGCAGTGTCCGGGCAAAAACTCGATTTTGAGATTTTGTGCTTATACGGGCCTATTCGCCATGTTCAATCCGAAAATCTACAATGGAAAGCACGAAAACTGCAAAAAATGGCTTTAGCGCAGGAAGAAAACAGCAAGTGGGCGAGGCCCTTCCCACTGTGATTTCACGCTCCCAGCGCCCGGAGCGGTCCTCGATTCCGCCAGCCGTCCCAACATCGTACCGGCCAAGTGCGAATGATTGACTTGAAACCGAAAGCGAGAAGATTGCTCCAAGCTGAGAGCGTGAATTAATAGTGGGGAGGACCCACCCACCCGCCGATCTCTCCTGTTCTAGAGCCGTTTTTCGCCGTTTTCCCTCCCTCCAATGTGTATTTTCGGATTCAGCGTAGCGAGTAGGCCTACACACAAAATCTCAAAATCGAGTTTTTGCCCGGACACTGCCCCACTGCCATTCTTGTCACGCGTACATGCCTAGTGTTTGAGCTTCTGAAAGCCTCTTAATTTTGGTCATACTTGTGGCCAGCAAGTTCGATCCCCTTCTGCACATTTTTTTGCAGGGAGAAAATGCTGTTTTTCAAGAGTGAGAATGTTCGCGACTGAGAAGCTTATTTCTCTATTCCACACTTTTTTAATTCGGAGCACTGTCTCTTACCAACCCTCCCCCCCTTCACCGCCGGTGTCCCCTTTACGACCCCCCGTTGCGACAGTCGCATCACACGCTTGATCCTGCTTCCAGGATTCCGCGGCTGGTCTCGGAGCAAACACTCTTCCAAATAGCATTAGATTACTGGTTCATAATCTGAAGCTATGTAGAATTTAACCGTTCGATTAGAAACATTGCATCACTAAGGCTGCGTTCATGCTGATCCAGAAGTACGGAAACAGTTCCAGCAAAGCGATCAGTTTGAGCGCTGTGCTGGAACTGTTCGCGAAGTTCCGGATCATCTTATATATAAAGCTGAATGTCTGTTTGTATGTATGTATGTATGTCTGTCTGTCTGTCTGTCTGTCTGTCTGTCTGTCTGTCTGTCTGTCTGTCTGTCTGTCTGTCTGTCTGTCTGTCTGTATGTCTGTCTGTCTGTACGTATGTTCCGAATAGAAAATTCCATTTCTGAACCGATCGGGACCAAACTTGGCACACATACACTTCGGGCCCCGGCGGGTGCCACAGGCTACTTTTCGTATCGATCGATATCGATTTTATCGATTTTTTGCAAAATTTGAGCTACGGGGCTGGGATTTGGCACAGACGGGTAATCGAGCATGCTCGATTACACCCCCTGCCAAATTCTAGCCTCCTAGCTCAAATTTTGCAAAAAAATCGATAAAATCGATTAAAGTAATGCACGGTTTCGAAAACTAATATTGTATTCGTAATCAGCATGCTCGATTACCCCCCTGTGCCAACTCCCAGCCCCGTAGCTCAAATTTTGCAAAAAATCGATAAAATCGGCATTAATCGATAACGAAAAGTGGACTGTGACACCCGCCGGGGCCCGAAGTGTATGTGTGCCAAGTTTGGTTCGGATCGGTTGAGAAATGGAATTTTCTATTCGGAACATACGGCGGAGCCGGGTATGCCAGCTAGTTATGGATATTCCCGACAACGGTCGGCGAGGTTGCCGGTCGTTGGAGGACCTGCTAGAGGTCTCGATCTTGTGACTCCGTAGCGCGCGATATAGTTAT